CCACCTGCGTTGGATCTGGATCAGCTGAATGACTTCTCAGATTGAACAGCTCTCACATATATCTTCAGCCGCAATGTTGTTGAAACACAAGTAGTAGAGATCCTCACTCTTTCAGAAAAAAGCTAAAGTTGCCAGGGATTCTACACACTTTAGAAACAGTACCCATGCCTAAAGGCAGCGCCCGCGTTCATTTGTTGTTCTCACGCCCTCTCTGGATCTAGTAGCTCCCCCTATGAGGATGGTGGACGTGCATGTTTCGCAACCCAAAAATGCGACGGAACAGCGGCGTCCGCCCGCAAAGAGCCGACGGCTCCGCCCACCTGCCGACCACGCCACCCAGCTTCATTTCTAATGGTTGCCTGATGGTGCGGTTGTTCCATTGCTGCTTCTCTCCACGTGGAGTGGTGAGAGTGAGGTGATAAGGGAAAACAGCTGATATGAACAAGTGGAAACCGTGCAATCACTCCTTCTCTTCGCCTTAAGCACGTACAACCGTTGTTCGGTATGAAACTCCTTCTAGGGCATTTTACGTGTTTTCTCTTTGATTTTTCTTCACTAATAGGCTTCTTGCTACCTCGCTATTACTATTACTTTCGCTATTACTACCTGAGCCGCATACTCATTAAATTTGAACGCGGGCGCTGCCTTTGAGTGATTCGTAGGCGTCTTTCCTTGTGAATGTAGTCTAGCCCTAATCTGTGTGTCACGAAATTCATAGCGCCTTTGGTTTAGTTTTGGTTCCAAGATATAATGTAGGGGGTGACGGGAACTCTATTGGTGGGTGACAGGAAGTGATATCAGTTGATAAGCTCCGATAAGAGACATAGAATTGGGAGATCACCATATCCTAACGCGGGTGACAGCATCTGCTAGCTCTTGATCCCGAGGTATGATATAGGGTATGGGCCAAGAAGATTATTGGTGGGCGACAAGAACGGTAAGCTGCTGACAAGATTCGATAAAAGGTTAGAAAGGTGAGGTCATCGTATTTACAACGCAGTTCACAGCCTTAGCGAGGCATACATACGGATAAGATCCCACTTGCGCGACATTTTTGTCACTTTTTACCGCTATAATGCCAGTAATAAAGGCTCAGTGTGTGAACTTATTCCTTCGATGTCAACGAATCAAGATCGTCCGTTCAGATGTGTGAAACGATGTAGAGCGGGGGGGTATGTAGTGCGGCTGAAACGGAAAAATCGGGAAATTCATCAGTGAAAAAATCTTTTCGCAAATCTGCCTGCTATGTGGCGTGTTAGAAGAATGCGGTCGCAACTGAAACAAAATAAGGAGAGAAACCAACGATTAGGACTTGGGACGTCCTGTCGGTGGTGATATTCGAGCTCTTTGTGCGATACACACTTTGACATATACAAGCATCTGTGATGTGAAGCTCTCTTTTTTTTTGCCGTCCATGACTCCGCTTTTGGGCCTTTTCCCGGTGTTAAATACTCATCCGGACTAATTTGAGTTTACCCGTTCTGATGTTGCAACTGCGGTCCTTACTGGTATGATTTGGCCTTCTCACCGCTGGAAGTCTGCAGTAAGCAAGGGGGATCAGATGTTGTAGATGATGACCGAATTCGAGCTTTTTCCAACTAATTTTCCCACATTCTAACAAAAAAAAAAGATAATCGCCACCATTTGGCTTATTTAGTGCTCTCTACCTGGCTTAAGGGAAGAGTGCCTGGCGAAGCCAGGCACTCTTCCCTTAAGCCAGGTAGAGAGCGGCGACAGCCGGGTGATCCGACCAGTAAGTAATAAAGGTGCTATGGCGGCTGAATGCTGCATCTCTTTCGCCTCCCTAGTTGTCCCGCCCACCGAAACCCAAGAGCAACTTCTGTTCCGAGTTCAGTTTTTACCTCATGTTTTCGTTTTTTTTCTGACTTTCGCGTTGTATTAGGATTGGATGACAAAATCTGATAAGTGTGGGAGGCTTACGGCGTAGAATTTCTTTTCTACCAACGGCTACGGTCACCAGCAAGTCTAATCAGAGGAATTGGAGAACCCCGCCATTCGCTCTTGCAACCCAACAATGTTTGCTCACTCGGTGGCAAGAAAAACAAACTTCGAAAGTATCCCAAGGATGAACTTTGACCTGATCTGCCTTATTCAGCACGGAATCGAGGAGCTTTTGTGGGCGAGGCAACCACTCTTTGCCTTTTGTTGGCAGTTAAGTCGCCGAGGTGATGGCGCGTAGATTATTCATTGAACAGTTTGGCGGGCGCACACTTCTACGCAAATGGTCGAACCTATGGTCCTTATCACTACAGGGTTTCTGTGCTGACTCCTAACTCTTGTCTTCTTGTCCTAATTCCCATGTTTCGAAATACACTTCATCATATTCTCTTTAATGAACATTTGTTAACGTGTGGTGCTTATAGCCAGGAAAAGCCAGGAGAGGTCAACAAGTCAGCCCGGCCATTTCCAGTGAGTTGCATATTGTTGTACGCTTCTTGAAAAGGTCAACTCAAATCTACTTCCAAAATTTTAATTTTCTGAACCTGATTCTTCAATTCACATTTCTCTGAACGGAGTGGTGGAGGGTTTTTCCCACTAATTTTTTCTTTGAAGCGCACTGGCGCTGAAGCGTTCGCACCTATAGCGTGACACACAACGCTCTTCGCGCAGAATGGGTATCATATTTGTGTTCTGGGGGGGGGGGTTGAGTGAAATAACCCCTAGCGACGGCACCTTAGCGGAATCTGAGTTATCGACTTAACTTCGAAAAAAATGGAGTTATGTTAATCATGGTTGACTGGTAGCCGCATTGATACTAGCCTACTGGTGATGACTGGTCTTCGAGCTGAAATAACTCTTCAGTCATGTCTTTTCGCGAAGAACAATACCGGACTCACCTATTCGTGGCGTCTGCATCATTTTCCTTATTACCATGAGGAAATTCCATGTCGAGACCAGTCAACAATGGCAGGTAAGCTCCATTTTGCTGCTAATTACCCACAGAGTGTCAAGAACAATACCGGACTCACCTATTCGTGCCGTCTGCATCATTTTCCTTATTACCATGAGGAAATTCCATGTCGAGACCAGTCAACAATGGCAGGTAAGCTCCATTTTGCTGCTAATTACCCATAGAGTGTCCACATTTTGCAAGTTAAGTCGAAATAACAGATTTGAATAGGAACTTTTCCCAGGGGCAATTCGACCCGCTGACCATGAATATCATACTGTTTCCTCGCAAAACCCTTGCGACATGTGTTATTAGGGAGACAAGTCTAAACACTCTCTCAGACTACAATGGGTCTACACTTTCGAAAAGAAAAACTAATCGCAGGTCCCCTGACAGGCTAGTGTAGGCTAGTAGAGTGTTGGAAGATTTGCTGGTCATGCTCCCGGAAAATGCAAAACGGAGCAACTTCACGCGAACCGATTCCACGACTTCTCGCATGAGAAACGCGCTCGCTACCTATTGCACTTTATTGCCACG